GTTTCTTTCCTATGCCTGTGGGAGCAAGGAGGTCAAACCTGTTGGTCCTCTGGGGATGAAGCTGAAGGACACGGCGTTTTGGGGGACACAGAGGGAACCTCTGAAAGACCTGGGGGAAGAGCTCAGAAAGAAACTGCTGGACATTTTCACTAAGAGCGGTGAGTCTGAAGGCCCAGGGCAGAAGGAGAACACGTTGGCAGGACTGGGGAGCTATTGTGTTCTTGTAAAAGTTCGAAGTGGGTCCCAACATGCGGCCCTGTAGCGCGGACAGAAAAGGAGGCAAGAGCAGGACCAGAAGGGCGGAAGGGGAGCCGAGGAGTGCGCAGCAGGTGGGGCAAAGGATTGGTCAGGACCAGAGGCTGACCTGCTTCCCCTGGTGCGGGCGGGGGCGGATTCTCTCACCCTGCAGGGCAGGCTCATGTGTGAACGTGGGGCCGACGGACACACCAGAGGATCCTGGCGGTTTGCCTTCAATGAGCAGTTAACTCACTTCTTTGACCCGGAGAACAGAAAGTGGACAGCGGTTCCTCCGGGAGGCCAACAGTTCCGAGGCACGTTGGACAATGATGAAGAGCTGACCAAGCCCCTTGCGGGGACGTCAAAGGGAGACTGTAAGAGCTGGCTCCAGCAAGTGTGGGAGCCCTGGGATGAAACGCAGGAGACCACAGGTAACTCAGAAGACTGGATGGAGTGCTGGTTCTCTTGAAATGACCTCGACCTACCCCACAGTGTGGTGTGTGTGTGTGTGTGTGTGTGTGTGTGTGTGTGTGTGTGTCTTTGTGTATGCAAGTCTGAGGGAGAGAGAGAAATTCATCCATCCATGGCAAATTCTTTCTGGAATTTTAATGGCCATGGGAATGTTCTAGAATCCTTCCTTTCCCTTCCCACCTCCTGGATTTTTTCATCACTGCACAAACCTTGTGCTCAGGTATTTCTTGGATTTCTTGCTGCCCCAATCAGGGGAACATCAGTCTGTTTCCAAAGATGGTGTTCTTACTGACCCGTTTCTGAGAATAATTGTTGTTTCCATGTCAACTGGTGTATTGATAGGAATCCTTCCTTCAGTGCCACCTGAACTGTCAGCTCCTGAGAGGTAGTCGCTGTCACCTTCTTTACCCTGCATCACCTCCTGTCTGTCACAGCAGGAGCGACTGCTTATATTGCAAACCCTGCTTCCCCTTTTGGCCTGAGGAGGCCCTGAGGGACATGGCGCATCCCCTCCTCGCTTCCCAACAGCAGGACTGGTCACAGCAGCTGCCACAAGAACAGTGATAGACACCATCTGCCTGGGAGGATGCACCTGGGCCAGCAGGAGCTGAGGAAGCCTCCACCCGTTTGGGGTCCCAACTGGGGCTCTGATTCTTGCAGTTTCATTTGAGCACCACCAACAACACAGCCAGATGTGGCCCAGACCAGGAACATCTGGATGGTCATTGTGAGCCCCGACGTTGTCGTTATCATCGTCGTTGTCGTCATCGTTGTCATCATAATTTGCATAATCATCAAAAATTGACCCTCTCTGTGGAACTCCTTTAGAAGGACAGGTAGTGAGAGCAGTTTGAGAGGGAAGGGAGGGGCAGATGGCCTGGTGTGAGCACAGGGAATGGTGAATCCCAGCCTCACCCCTGCCCACTGCCTGAACCTTCTCACAGGGCAGTGGGAACAGAGGAGTGAGATCTTATATCACGTGTTGGCAACAGCTCAGCACTGAGCTCTGATATGGCCTCACTCACTGTGAAGGCCTCTGGGAAAGGCGAGGGGCCCACACCTTGACTTAAGTCATGTTGGTGCTAAACGGATTGAGGGAAGACAGTCCTGGCTCTGACCGGGTTCTCCATTGGAGAGAAAGAGTCAATTTTGGCCCAGGGTGGGTGGTGTGGGGACAGCGGGGACACACAGCATGGGCCGTACTCCCCTTTGAGTAAGAGCAGCATGGCAGCTCCATGGGACATCTAAAGGAGAAGGGGACTCCATCTGGGCAGTTATAAGGAGAGGGGCCAGGGTCTCATCCCAGGTAGAGGGAGTGGGAAGGCCCCTGCAGAACAACTCAAACGGCTGGACAGTAGTGCTGTGTTCCCCCAGTCATGGCTTGGGTCTTCACATGTGAGGCAGCAAATGCCCAGTAGACACCATGCATGATGGGACTAGAAGGCGGCCAGTTCTCCGTGCAACAGTGGGAACCCTGGCTGAGGCTGGTGCTATTCCTGGTTCAAGGCTACCAAGAAGCCCTTTATCATGGGGACCAGCGCAGCAACTCTGCCTCTGGGCCAGCTGCCTTTGGATGACCTGCTGCTCATCATTAGACCAACAGAACTTCCAAGTTTACAAATCCAGAACCTCAGTCCGACCACCTGTTGCAGGACAGGGAACCTCCCATGTCCCTTCTTGATTTCGTGCCTCTCCTGTTCAGCACTTTCCACTGGCATATTCTATGCTGTTTTCTCTCAGTGCTAAGTGATGGAATTCCTGCACTGAAATGTTTAAATGCTGGACTGAAGAATCTCAACAAAGACGTTTTCTGTGTTGTCCTCTGGTTGTGCAATATCGGATCCTTCTCTGTAAGAGGACCATGTCCTTGCAGACAGTATCGCCAAAAAGATACTGTTTGAAGCTCTAGAGGACACTGTTTGAAGCTTCAGGGACATTTTCTGTGTCCTCACTGACTTTAAATCTTTTCTAACAACTTTATTAAGTGTCTTTTACTTTCCTTAAAATCAACCCATTAACCTCATTGACTTCTAAATGGGATATTTTATAAGTGATTATTTTCCCCGGCCTGGGTGGCTAAGTTGCTGGAGCATCTGCTTTCAGCTCAGGACTTGATCTTCAGGTCCTGGGGGAGTCCTGCATCTGGCTGCCTGATCAGCAGGGCGTTTGTTTCCCCCTCTGCCCTTCTGCTGCTCTTGCTCAGGCACGCTTTCTCATTCTCTCAAAAATGAGTAAATAAAAAAAAAAATCTTTAAGAAATATCTATAATGTGATTATTGTCTTCCACAATTTATTTCCATCTACATATATTGAAAGAAGCATATCTCTTATAAAAGACTAATTCATCTGGAATTTGTTTTATATCCCGTAAGGACTCAGGGAATTTTTTTTTCTTCCTCTACTGTATGGGGTTAAAATAAGTGTGATTCTGCTAGATTTCTTGTGGAGATACAATTTAAGGATGGCTTGGAAATCAACTTTCAGGCAGTCATCTGTCAGTCTCAGACATGATCCTGACACTTTGGAGTTTAACAGACATTCTGGGAATGAAGCAGTTGAGAATCTTCCTGATTTCCCTAGGTCCCTTACCTACAGCACTGACTTTCCTATCATCCTCCTTCAGTGCACAGTGAGCCTTCACAGCAGAAACAGATCTGCTTCTAACAGTTGATTTATTTCCTCATGAGCAAAGGATTGGTATCCAGAATATACAAAGAGCTCCTGCAAATAAATAAGTATAAATATGGTTCTCCTGAGATCTGTGCAAATGCTTAAAGCAAGTCACCGACAGTGAATCAGCCTATGAAATCGCTGAACACATCCCAAGTAATCAAGGTAACACGAAGAACAACTGGCTTGCTTTATACGTGCATCAAACTGACAACATTTTAAAGAGCATTATAGCAAGTGGTGGACAGGAAATGGAATAACAAGAGTTCTCTTGTGTGTTGGTAGGAGTTTAAATGGAATCACTCTTTTGCCCTATAGTTCACCCTATCCGGATGGTGGTTGGTGTTTTCATCCCACTGCATGGCAATCCCAGTGTTAATTCAAGGCTGGAAACACATGGGGAACAAAAAGCAATAGAGATGTAGGATTGTTTACCACGGTGCTATGTGTCATAGCAAAAAATTAGCCATAGGATATCCAACTGATGTACAATATATACAGTGTGTTAGGAGATTTCTGTTTCT